CTGATTTGGCACAACACTTTGCGTAGCGATTATTTTGTGATGCTGCAAAACTTCGAAGATAGTACTTTCTAGGCTTTCACGTTTGAAGACACGAACAAGTGTAAAATTCTTCCTCTTAAAGAGGTTCTGTTTGGCTTATAATCTGCTTCTTAAAAATAGAAGCTGTATTCTCATCAAATACTGTGTCACCTTTATAAAAAATAATTCAAAAAAATTTAAAAATCTCCAAATTTTTTCTTTGAAAACACGTTAACTTTTTAAAAGAGTTAATTTTTTAAAAGAGTTGACTTTTTCTTAGATGAATGGAAGCTGGACCTTAGCACAGACGGTTTAATAAATTTTAGTTTGGGCCCCTGGTGAATCCTCCCAATGTTTTTTCTACTAAAGGAATAATAATTTTTTTGGCCGACAAGATTAATGACAAGAATATATAATATATATTTTAATTATTTATTTATTTTATACATAATTTAAGGATACAGTATGAAATAATTTTCTTTTATTTCTAATTTTATACCTCTTGTTTTAAAATTTAAAATCAAACCATTTTAAATTCTCGACACAATGTTCTCGATAATGAAATAATAACAAATATATTGATTCTTATAAAAAGAAATTTCGTAATATTTTTTTTAGAAATGAGAATATTATTGCAAGTCTTCAAAGCATATTAATATTTATATATATATAAAAAAGAGGACATCTCAATGATTAATTATGAATTTAACTTAAAAGTCTTATATTTAAAAATAATAGATTGAGAGACTTAAGGCATTAAAAAACATATAATAAACTTTTATTTTTTTATTATATTTAATTAAAATTTTATATTTTTATTTTTAATTTAATAGATCTTTATAACTAATTGTTTACTTATCGTTATCAATCAAACGTTATTTATCATTTTATATCATGTAATACTGATATGATATATCGATAAGTAAATAATGATGTGACATGATAATATAATTATATAACATTTTTATCATCCACATTAAAATCACGGATATAAAAATGATAAGTAAAGTTTTGAAATAATAATGATTAAGTATTGTTGATTATAAAGGTTTATTAGATTAAAAATAAAAATAAAATTTAATTTAATTCAATAAAAAATAATAACTTTTTTAAATATTTATAAAAAATTTAAGATATTTTTAAAACATCATAGGTCAAAAAAAATTTTATCTTGCGTTGTACAATCTATGTTAAAAGCCTTTTCTATTTATCTAAATTAAAAAAATTACATAATCAAGTTTTATCAAAAATATTATATTATTTGGAAAATAAAATGTTTTATGAAATAATCATGTTTTAATTAAAAAATAAAACAAAATAAAATTAAATGGTAAGAGATGTAGGTAAAATTTTAGTAAAATTAATGACAGCGTCACACCAAATAAAACAATAAAAAATGATAACAAGTTAAAAAAAAAATCAACTTCCATAAAACCAAACAATGAGCAATTAAAAAAAATCTTGATGAAATCGATGATCATGGCTACCATTTATTCATGTACTATTTTTTTTTGGAGGAAATAATTATTTATTAATTTAATAAGAATATTATCACAAAAACATATTTTTTAATAATAATTAGGGATATTTGTTCACGTGTTGAAATGGATTTAAAAAGTGAAATAAAGTTTAACACTATCAGGTATAAGCTGGCTAATTTACCCGCGAACCCAAAAACCCTAAAACCAATTAAACGTTAAACCCTAGGGATTTCGAAAAACCCCTAAACCTGATGAAGACGGTAACCGGCACAATCCTCTCTTCAACTCCGATTTCCGTCTCCAAAGTAACCAAAATCATCTCCAACTTCGCCGCTACAGACAACGGCTCGTCGCAAGCGGTGAGCGCATACCTTCGACGCGCGTCCGTTTTATTCAACGAGCTCAAACAGTTGCATAGGGAGCTGCGAAAACAGTGGAAATCGGATCGTAAGCACAAGAAGTCCAAGTCTGAGACCGCAGTGGAAGGTGCCCGCGAGTCGAGTCTAGAACCGAGTGTATTCAACTTGACTCGTGGTGCTGTGGAGCTGAGTCAAGAGGCGAGTCATGGGTATGGGGATAGTGAGGGAAAGAAGCATAAGAACAAGAAGAAGGCAGAGAAGGGTGAGGTTGGTAATGTCGGGGATGGTGAAGGCAAAAGTGTAATTGAGGGTGGAGAGAGCAAGAGGAAGAAGGAGAAGAATGAGATTGGTAACTTTGAGGAAGA